GAAGGGTTGTCTGGTTGCCTACGATTGTGGTGATTTTCACGAAGCGAACCATGAATTTCAATCAAGAAATCTTGGGAAGTGCACTGCTAGCAGGGATCCACAGGCTTGGTACTTTCAATGCGATCACTTCTGACCTGGCACTACCATCTGAGCATCCTGCTTGCCCGGTGCTTCCAGGCGCTTCGCCACTATAGTAGGTGTGCCCAGAGGAATCATCGAACAATTAGAGGCAAGGAGTCCGATCGGTGACCTACAACCCTGAAAATGAATGTATCCTTGTGGCTTGTATTTAATTAATGAAGTAGAGATTACTAAAATGAAATTCAATGCTTATATAATAGAGGTTCTGGCTTTCTGCGGACATACTGGGCAGAACCCAACAAATGATTCCGTTTGGCTTGTAATTGAAAATCCCCGTGAACAGATGCCTCAAACAAGCCAACGCGCCCACTTGGACACAAGGAATTCCACAAGTCGAGGACCTTGATTGGCTGAAGCCACCGACCCAGTGAATGACTTGAGGCCCAACCTCACCCCCTGAAAAACAAATACATGGGTGTGTCTTTTAACCCCCCCCCCCCACCGCAAAAAAAAAGAAAGAAAGAAAAGAACATAAATGAAACACAAGGTAGTTGTCCGTTTGGATTTCGTTTGAAACCCATGAACAAGGGGCTCCCTTCAAGAAAAAAAACTGCGCTATGCTCAAACTCTGCAAAGAAAGCTCAGGAGACTGGCCGTCGAAACACAAAACGACCAGATCTTCCATTGGCGTCCGCACGTCGAACTCGGCTTCTCGGGTCTGCAGCAGCTGGAGGACCTGGCCAGGTCCCCTGCAACCTGAAACCGAAAAGGCTTGCTGGTTCGATAGCCTGAAATGGATATGTGTTATTTTCCCCTCTTGATTTCACTGCTGGAAATATGTTGTTTTTTGTTGTCTCTGGTGTTTTTCCTTGCTGGTTCGATAGGAATTGGAATGACCCCAAATTAAAAAATATCCCCGAGTTGGCTTCCTTTAAGGGAATCCCCTTCCGGTTCATTCCCAACACCCAGAAAAGGTCATTCCCTACCGAGCAGCAGCAAGAAGGGGATCCACCAAAAGGCCAGGAATCTTCATAGGCCCCCCCCCCCAAAAGTGGTTGGTAGACATGAATCCCCACCTAGATCATGTCCATCAAAGGGTCCCAACTAAAACTGACACCCAAAACGAGCATTTCCTCTACAGAGGATATTTTTTGCAGGTTCCATAACCATTGCCGAAGAGTCCACTTCAAGTTTTGTAGGGTAACGGGAACCTTGGATTGATATATCCGTGGATGAGGGGAATCCCCTTGTAGTGGGAGTTCATCACTTTTGGAGGGAACACACCCTTTTGATAGGACGTTGACTGTTTATTCTGTCAACAGTACTTTCAAGTGATGACTAAGATCCATCTGTATAGTAGCCCATGGGCCGGCTTGCCACGCCACCAAATAAAGAAACCAAAAGGAAGAACAAAAGAACAGCTCTCCTAGATGGGTACTGGGGGGGGCCCTCCAAAAAGTGGTCTGATTCCCCCAGCTCCCCACATTTCACCCAGCGAAAAAAAACACCCACCTATTATTGCTTTAAAGAATGGGGTTGGTTTGGCCATGCGTCAAAAGCCCGTACCCCCAGTGAACACCCCCATCCCCACAAAAATAGACCAACATGGTTGGTGCACCTACCCCGAAATGGTATCATTGGTTTTGACCCACAGCCATTTTTCTATGGGGTCAACATCAACTGGGATCCAACGATTCCCCGCCTTTTGCCAGGCGGATCGGTCCACCAGCGGCGCAAGCAAGCGGTTGATCGCCTGGCCCCGAGTCTTTGAGGCGCCTTTCGGTGGATGTTTGGTCCGTGAAGAGAAACCCTGGAATGATGGTTGCCCCGTGAATACCAACCTTACAGTGGACTTTTGGCGCAATCCGTCTTCCGCACCAGTCATCAACCCTGGTTTCTGATTCGACCCCTCTGTTACCAACGAACGTTGTGGAACGTGGTGGTTTCACCCACGGCTTCAAAGTGGCGCCAACGGAATTGGTCCATCCACTTCCCCGATCTTTCAACCTTCACCTGGAGCCCTGGACACCCACTCTAAAATGGTCGTCCCTGCGGTCGGGTGGTTCCGCCCGTTTCGCCCAGAACCGCCCTTTTCGTCCGGAGCCATTTTTCCTGGGATGGCCAACGTTGGCCTTCCGCCCTTCCTGCGCCATAAGCCAGGCATGCCAGGTTTCCTGAGGTTACTAATAGCGCCCCGCACAACCGAGAGCCCATTGATTGACATTCGTTGGCGAACCAAAGTGTAGCCCTTTGTTCGGGTGTTGGGCGTCCCTCACTGGATCCAACGATTCTCACAAACTCTGAGCTCTTCGTAGCTGCCCATAACTCGGGAGATCCCAGGCCACCGAATTAGAAATGCCAAAAGAGGGGCCCGAGAAGCGGGTGCCCTCCTGAGCGGACAAGGGCGAAAAGCAATAAATGGGTGTGGCTCAAAATTAGAGAGCTGGGGTTACGCGGGTTTTAGTCTTTGGTTCCATTTATCAAGGTGTCATTTTGGTTCCGGTTTTTTGAGCCACAGCCAAATGAACTTACGAAGGGAAGGGTCCCGATCCAAATAGACAAACTCTCTGCTTGGATCACAGGAGAGCCTGACAGCGCCATCCCCCCAGTCGCACCTTCTTGCCATGGGCAAAGGCGCGCATTCTGCTCGGCAAGTGACCTGGTGAAAGCAAGAGATGCAGCCTGGGCTAAGTACGTGTGAATTAACAATCAGCACGTCTCAGCAACCGAGCCTGTTTTTGTGAGGGTTAAGGGCCTGGAAAAGAGCAACCACTTGGCTTTCTAGAAGGCTCCTTTTGATTTCTCTTTCAACAGCCTGAGTGGATTGGCAAAACGAGTCCAAACTTGTTGCGCACCACTTTAGTGGTCTTCCCGAAAAGTGAGTCAAGTCCCGGAACTAGAGGAGTGAGATACAATACACTGGGCGTTCGCGGTTTTCGCCTTGAACCAAAAAGAGGAATCTGCATCCCAAATCGTTGCGTGGAAGGCCTCTGACGCGGACATCGCGCTGGATGAAGCCATGGCAGCGGTTTGCGATGCGAAAGGCAAGGCTTTGGTGATTTCCCAGAGTGACGCAGGGATGCAACATGGTGAAAACCCTGTCATGTCGCGAGAGATGGGTGAGCAGGTCTACTCTAAACTGGCGTGCAGGGGCTGACCTCTAAGTTGCAGTCAGGGTCACAGTCTGCATATGTTTGCGGCCTGGCTGGTCGGCTTGCCACGGGCTTGGTCAAAATGCACTCGAGCACAGGGAGTCACACGGAAGGAACCACACACGCGTGCACCACCTGGTGGAAGATGACCCTTGAAGTGAATCGCAAAATGTTGCAAGTGAACCAACAACATCCGACAACAAAACCCTGGCAGGCTGCATTAAAATGCAAGGCTTCCCACCGTGCAATAGTTTAGGCATCCGCCGCCAATCACCCCTTCGAAAGCTGAAGGAGAAACGCGCTACTTGACTCCAATAGAAGCACTGGAGTTTGTCTCAAAATACCACCCCTACTGGTGGCTTTCCTGTTGGCATGCCTGACCAGCCAAAGGGCACGACATCAAAACCAACACCCGTCGGCGCCGTCACCGGCTCCAGCCGCCGCCGCTTCAACTTTTCCTGAGGAAGTCAACGCGAGGAGTTGGGCTCAGGCGTCCATCGGGATCTCCAACCTCGGTTTGCAGTCTACTCCCCTGCTAAAAGTGACTAACTTCTAGTGGTCTAATACGGAAAACCACTAAAGTTGGCAAAACAGTTCAACTGCTATTGGTTTAATGAAAAACCACTAAAGTCGGCAAAAAGTTGAAGTCCTAACATCCCTTGGCAAAATGCAAAGCAACGGCGCTGAGCTTCACAGCGATCCACCTTCACCTGGGCCGGTCCGTCCGCTCCGGGACATCAAGCACCAGTCGCACCATGCAAAATATTTACCAAACCACCAGTTGACATGGAACCTGAAAGGTGTATTTAAAAGGAAAATGTGTTTTTTGCAGGGTCCCCCTGTCAGGTTCCACGCTAATTGGTGGGAAGAGCAGGAAAAGAACACCAGGTTGCGCCGGAATTTGGGGGGTGCAACAGGCAGCTCAGCCAGTGGCATTGGTAGCACTCATCCCGTGATGTTTTAACTCTTGCCCAACATCTTGCGAATGAACTCCTCAGTCAAGAAGCAACGCGTTTGCCTTTCGCTGGGCACGGAGAGTCGCAATGGACCAGCCGCGGCTGCGTTTCATCCATGTGGGGCGGGGAAGCGAGACAAATGGGCGCAAGCAGAAAACGTTGAGCAAACCATGTTGCCCCTTTTTGTTTCAGTCTGGCAAAAAAGGTTTGCAAAAACAACCAACAATTGTTCATCCCACCTCTCTAGCGCAAGCGTTATCAGCCATGTCAATAACACCAGAAAGGATTACCAGAGATCACCTCTCTACAGCACCAGGTCAGGTCACCTCTTGTAGCCATCCACCATGAAAGGATCTCCTAGCAATCCTAGCAACGGATCGTTTGATGCGTACCGAACTGCTTCAGACTCACTCACTGCTTTTCTTCGCAGCAAACGGTTGGCACTCCCAACCCCAGCGTGCCAGTTCCGGCTGCGGCCCCCAAACAACACCGCACCCAAGAAAGATGAATGCGCTTGGATTGATCCTCCTAGCTGTACAAGTAGCTGGCATCACATTGGAAGCATCTTTCCCCATGCATCACGCAGAGTTTCTTCGAACAAGCCTCTCAATCTTCTCAGTCTTAGACTAGGTCCTCGTTCGAAAAAGGGCACCCGATTTTTTTCTTTTTTTTCTGTAGTCTATTTTAGTAGGGGAACCCTCCCCCAGAAAAGGGGCGAGAACGGGCAGCTGGCTGGGGGACCTAGAAGAGATGAATGTTGTGACACCTGTGCTGCTTCTGCCACCAGCCCCATGCCAGGTCCGGTAGCACCTCACGCATCACTCGCCGAGCTCTTTGACTTCGCGGTCACCTGCTGGACTGGGGATGATGCTACAGGGGGCAGTGAATGACGCAGGCAGAACCCCCCGAAATGTTCCCCGCGGAAGTGCCGGAAGGCCAAAAGCAGTAATGTTAACCCCGGACAAATAAATTTCTGGTTGATTTTAATTGGGGGGTGTCCTTTTTTAGTGGGGATTCATCACTTTTGGATGAACACCCCCCCAAATAATGGGAGGAGGGGTTGATTAATCCTGGGTCAACATTGAGCAGGATATAGCTCAAGTCAAATCCAAAGATCGGCCGAGGCGCGCAGCGCTGGATGAGCGAACACAGCTCAGACCACATTGGTTCATAGCAGCAGGGCCCCTGCAGACCGTTGAAAATGCTCAGCACGATACCCAGATCGTACATGCAGTCCTGCCCAAAAGAAACGCTCCATTCTGTGCCTCAGAGTTATTGTTGCCAAAAAGGGAGCCCAGCAAAAAGCTCCGGCTCTTAAGCTGACGTTTCGCCCCAGCATTCTCCTCGAAAGTCTCTCGTCCGAAGAAGGTTGCCACTGACTTGGCCACATCTTCATTGAACTTTCCGGCCTGGCTGCTCTGCAGAACACTTTGACACCCAGGAAATGACGCACTTTTTTGAAAGATCCAAGATATTGCTTCTGTTTCCTGTGGTGTTCGTGGTCAAGTTCCATGTTGCTTGACTTCTTGCTCTTTAGCTACTCCCTGTGGTTCACCACCATTAAAACAATTGGGGTTAATATAATCACCGTTGTTGAAGGAGTTTCATCATCCAAATTGGGTCCATTCGTTTAATAGGGGTTGAACCCCAGGGTACCGTCTCATAAGCTTTCCCAACCAAACACTCGGCCCGGCGCGCGTCCTGTGAGTCATGGTGCCACTCGAGCAAGACCTTCCGCGCCGCTGTCTTTTGAGTCACCCGCGTAGCTGGACGCATCGTCACCCAAACCTCCAGGCTTGGAACGAGAGAGGCGCTCGCGGAAGACGACCGAGTCGAGGTAAAAAGCTGCGCAACGCAAAAACAGCCCTTGGACACTGGAGGCAAAAATTCCTTGAAGGTGGGAAACAAATGTTCCAAATACTAAAACTGGGCCGGTGATCGTATGCTGTCTCGGTTACTGTTAGGAAGGTAACAAACCTACAAATCCCCAACAAAAAACCATATATACCTCTTGGCAATGCGCAAAGGCAAAAACTACTGTAAACAGTATAGGTGATTCACTTCCTTGAAGCCGACCCCATCTTCGAGGCATGTAGAAGGATTGTACGAACCCTCTCAACGGGCGCTCTTCTAAAAACCTTTTGATTGAAACGCAAGTGCTGAGCACAAGCGTTTCATGAATCAAAGGGCCCGATTGCTTGCTCTAAGTGCAGTAGCCCAATACAAGACGATGTGCTGAACATGCCAAACTTCGAAGAACGGAGTCTACCTCGGTGCGACACAAAACGCGTGCACTCACAACCCTCGCTGACCTCGCAGTCATCCCACACCTCACCATCAGTAACACTATAGAACATCTCCGCGCCAATCTCCAGCACCTCCTTCTCGTTGGACAGCGCGACAGAGACGTCAGTCGTAGCCCTACCTTTGTGCTTAAACGGTTCTTGCAACAAACTCAAGTTGTCATGTTTTAACAGCGCTACTTTCAATTAGCCATAGTTTACAAATCACCTCAATATATATATATAGCCCATAGTTTACAAAAATCACCGCTTCCGTGAGACGAACCAAGCCATTCCCATCGATCTAAATTCCCTTCTGGACCACAGGGCCATGGTCAGCGAAGTCCCTCCCATTTTTCCGGTCGAACTCTGAGGAGTCGTTGGAAGCTCTCCGAAAGCCTGGGCCAATACAAATCATTGCTTTGAGCGCTTCTTTCCAGAGGTAAAGTCAGAAACTGGGGACCTGCTTTCCTTGAACCTACCACTTGGAGAAAAAGGTGGAATAATGGGGCCAGAGATGCATCTATAAGTTACCTGATTCACAAGGGCATCTCCCAAAAGCTGGTCAGCTTGTGAACACCTTATGGCCTTCCGATTGTTTGTGTTTTTTCAACAGAAAACGAAGCCAAACAAGTTTCCTCTACCTGGAGTCTCCATGACCCTTTAATAATGGGGTCATGACCCCTTTATTTTGAGAGATTTTGGGTATTGACCCCATGTGTTTAAGGGTCACGGAAACTCCAGGTAGAGAAAGTTTGGAGGTGGCAATGCCGCGAAGGGCAAAACATCTAGCACAATTATGATGACAAGGACAAGGATTGTGCATGTAAAAAAAATGCTTCAGTCACATTTGATCTAGGCGCCCACAGAAACCCAAGGCAAGAAAACTTGGTTGGGTTGCACCCAGCAAAGCCTTCCAAAACACGCAAAACTGAAGACTTTTTAGTTGGGTGGGTCGGGCAAAGCATACATGTCAGCTGGGATTGTTCAACCTGGTGAATCTAGGGAGTCTTCCCCCAAACGTGTTCTGAGAAAAAAAAGGAAAAGAACAAAACGGGCTTCTTGATCCGGGAATCCCAACCACCGACTCAGACTCGAGAAGCACCAGGTGCTGTCTGAGAGGCGCTTCAGCGCGAGGCGGTAAGTTGGGACTCCGCCACCACGCCAGCCACCGGTGCTTCCAGCTGAGTGCTCCCTTGCTCTTCCTGGGCTGGGCTACTGCTTGAAACTGAGCATAGCAAAAGCCGCCGATTTTATTCATTGCGGATTTCCAGACATTGTGGTTTGCCTTCCCCCCGCACTACCATGGTGGTGGGGCTAGATTTTGCAAGGGGAAAAGTTTAGAGGGAGACACATTTTACTTTTGGGGCTAAGGGAAAACATTGGAATGACCACACGTTCTGGTTCATTTGAAGAATGTTATCTATCTACGTCAAACACAATGACACGACACGTCCTTGCCCCAAAAACATATTTCAAAGGGCTCAAAGTGCTGCGGAAGGGACCCGTGCTTCTGTTTGCCATGCTCTGGCCCAAATTTGTGGCGATGAGAGAGGGTGAATTAGGCTGCCATCTTTCCGGCCAAGGTTTGAACAACATATCGATGCATACCGATCTTATCATACTTTGCTATACTGGTGTTCGATTACTTTGAATGAGCCCGTATTGTGTGAAGCTATTGTCGGGCGTTCATATGAGCCCACGGTCAAAAGGCCAATTTAGCGAGTCCCATGTGCCTCCCAACCAAATGGACTATAGACTACTGGAAACATGGACCGAACCTCGTATAGTCATGTCTCTCGAATTGAGAAAAGACTCCCACCAGGCTGTCAATTGCTGCGCTGCCCGCAGAGGGTTAAAGCGGCCCCGCACCACTTGCTGGAACTCCTGCAGTCAAGAGGTTGACCAATGGGAAGCCTTCAATGAAAGACAGGCAAATATGGCGCTGGATTATCTACTCCATTCTGATTGGAAAGCAAAGTAGACCCTGCTAGTGGCTTGTGCATGTGAATTGGCTGCCACTCTGCACACGCGTGCACGCTCAGCTGAAGAACCGGTGGTTAAAACATGTTGAAACTCGGGGAATTTCTGCTTTGCCCAAATAAACACCAGCAGCAATCCTCAAACACCAGCTGACAAAACACTTAATTCCACCAAACACAAGCACAGACCATACTTAAACAACATCCAGAACAACACAACAGTTCAAACACACAAAGCAACCACAGAACAACTCAAACAGACCGACAGACAGACAGACAAACAGACTAACTAACTAACAAAATCAAACAAACAAAACAAACAAGCAAACAGACAAACAAATAAGCAAACAAACAAACAAACAAACAAACAAACAAACAAACAAACAAACAAACAAAACAAACAAACAAACAAACAAACAAACAAGCAACAACAAATAGACGCACAAGCAAACAAATATCTCACCTCTGTATCTCATAAGCTATAGCTGTTCCTGCTCTACCAGCTTAGACAGTCTAGGGGTCGCAAATTGGCTAGCAACCATACCTACAAAGGCTTTCTGGGGAATTGTTGCTGCAGAACTTCTGGAAACAGAGGGACCTTGAAGTCCCTAAGGGGGGGGGGGTTCCCTAAACCTGCCTGAGGAACCCTAAGCATGCCTAGATGCTGAGGAACTCCAGAGCTCTTAACTACACACACCCCGATGGCCTACCCCTCTGAGAGATTTCATGATCACACCGAAGTACCTCACAAACTACCTGCGCCTGTATCAAGACTCAAACTCCAGCCTGGTTGGGAGCGACCCTTGGTTTCAACACGTTGAAGCCACCCAACTCTTAAAACAACATCCTCTTAACTTTGCTTTGAATGGACCGAATTGGGTTTGGTTGCTAAACACATTTGGCCCAACCAAGCTTTTCACATACTCCTGGCAAGTAGAAAAAGGGTTCATGAACACCCTGAATCATTACAGACCTAGACATCGCAGGCAGATCCACGGCAACTGCAAGTCTTAAACAGGGGGTATGGTTAACTCGGTGGTCTGTATCCCCTTGTGGTCTTCTGTTCAGAAAAGAAGAATAAGCAAAGGCCCTCGGAAACCACAAAAAAGCGGTTGTCACAAATGTTCCCGCCACCTGGTTTTTCCTGCTGGTGCTCAGTAGGGAATGAGGGAATGAACCTGGCGATTCCCTTAAAGCACAAGGGGTGGTTCAAATCGGGGTCGCACCAGCACGACCTTTTTTTGTTTTTTTCTTTTGGTGGATTCCGAGGACCCCGATGAGCTGCCTTAAGCGCCTTAAGAGGCCCTGGCTGAAGTTTCAAACAAGATGGCGCGAACCCCCAAAATAAATGGTTTCCAACCTCGATTTCTTCAAAAAAGACAGGTGAGTGTTCCTACATGCCAACCAGCCCCTTCCACAGGTGCCCTCATGTCCTGTTGGCTTTCCTCAACAAAGGTGGTTTCCAACGTCGGTGTCCTATCAACCAAGCAACCAGTTTCCTTCTTATTGGAAAGGGTTGGTTGGCTTGTGGGAAAAACCGACCTTGGAAGCCACTCCTCTGGCGGTTTTGGTACTAAGGTGCCCTCAGAAACCGGCCAACAAACTAGCCTCATTTCCTGGTTGTCCTAAGGAGCGCAACCCTCGATTCCCGCTGGCTTTCCCGCAAAAAGAATGCAACGCCTGCACTGAGCCAACCCCCGGGGACCGAAGCAAGGCTTCGGTGCCCTCAAAACAAGCTTAGTTGCCCTCATTTCCCGAAAAAAAGTGTAAAAAAAATGATGGTTTCCCGGAAAAACAACAACAACACAACAACAACAGTGGTTCTCTGTTCCGAGCCAACCCCAAAAGGCCCCGTGGCACCGAAACGCCTGGCTGAAGAGCTCCCAGCAGGCCGCCTCACAGCAGCGTCGCCAGAAGCGGTCCACGCACCACGCTGCACCGATGGCTTCGGCCAAGCGGGCGACCTGCCTGCGACCTGGCGCTCCGGGGTCTTGGGGGGAGAGGAGGGGTTATTGGCTTTTAAGGTGGTCCTGATGCAAATTCATAGCGCTTGCACATCTTTCACACTATGTTCCTTGCCTGTGCTTCCTGTGTTGTTGTTTTTTCTTGATGGTCCGAGGCTGTACTTCAGATTGAAAAGCATATCCTGCTAGGGGGAAGGCATTGCCGGAGGGTCTGCTTTTTAAATGCTGTCCTGTTCGATTGTTTCGTAACTACAAACATCAAATAATATAACATGAAACAAAAGGCAAATTTGAAAACCCACCCAAAAGCAGGAACTCTGAACACTAAAAACACAGCAACTCATGGCCGCAGAAAAACCAACGCCTTCTTTGGAAGCAACTTTCTGGTCGCCGCCGAGCCAACGGCAAATCTCCAGCACTAGCACGCCAGGCACCAGAGGCCACGAATGTGCTTGAGACGTAGCATAAGACCTGCAGATGGGATGAGGCCTGCGGACAACTTCGCGCACTCAAGTAAAAGGCAAAAGATCTCCAAAAACAACACAAACACAAAACATCCAATACCATTTCCCGGATCGACAGACTGACAAGCTAGCAAAGTGCTTGCAACCAGCTTCGAATGGAATGTCGAAGCACCTCTTCAACCGTTTCGCTGGGCGCTGCTCTGCCATGGCGGCACTGGACCGAGTCATTTTCTTGGTGCGCACTTGCCACGAAGGCTGAGGCCATATTTAAGGTCGGCATCATATCCATAGTCAAGGTATAGTCAATAAATATGCTATGCAGTCTTTGCGGGTGAGGCACGCTTCATAGCGCCTCCCTGCTTTGGTGTTCACGACTCCCACGACAGTTTAAGGAACGAACAGATAACTAGTCATACATTGTGTATGTCACACTGAAGACACTGCAAACAAAGAGAAGTATAGGGCAGAGCAAAAGCTGCGCATGGGCGAGAGCGCTCGGGAAAGGGACGGTCTGGAATCTTTGACCAAACTCACAGATTCATGCCTGCACGAGGGGGGCGAGGGTAGGCCTTCGAGAATCTTCAGAAACCCATGAAATTTCGGTTCTACCTGGCTAGTCAAGGTGTATCCAGTCCCTCGCCATTTCTAAACCAGGTACCCATTGCTTCTGAGATTGTTGCCCTTCGGTATATCCCAAGCAACCACTAAGAAACCCAAAAGAGGGGCGGTTCAAAGAGGACTCCCTTTAAGTACTTTCTTTTGCTGTTTGTTTGGGTGGGCAATCACCGGGGTCCAGGCGAATCTGCCGGGAAGCAATCACGATGTTCAACCCTTGTGATTTCGTCAATGGCGATGTCGCTGGGTTACCGCGTAATTGGAAGCACTGGGATACGAGATCTTCATTTGAAGATGGCGGTCAAGCAAAGGGATCGACGTCTTCGATCATGGCTCCTCGTGCCTTAAACTCACAGTGGAAGGTGGACTTGACTTCAATGCCCGAAAACATCAACCAAGACTGCTAGGAGGCAACCAGTGAGTGTTGCTCCTCGGCGATGGGTCGAGAGAAGTGAAAGCAGAATTCCAATGGGCAAAAGACCGCCACAACCATGCGCTTGATTGGAATAACACCGAGGGTGTCCTTGTTCGCGAAGGATGAACAGCTAAAGAACATGCGACAACAAAAGGAAGGGTCAGGATTCGTCAGGATAGATCCTGACATAGACGGTTCTCAACTATTTGCTGCTTTGGTGATCAGAGGTAAACATACCTTCCGCTCCCCGCTTCCCCATTCGCGTGCCGCTTGGGGCAAAGGCTCATGGACCTCGTGAAGGCCACAGATCCTTTGGCCAATCCGCTGCCAGCGAGCGAACCAACGAATCCGGGTCTCTGAGCACGTGCAAGCGACCTTTGGGAGTTTTGGGGGTGGCCACATGAAACAGGAACCTTCATGGATAAAGCTATGCTGCAGACTTGAGAAGCTACCAAAAGAAACTCCCACACGCAGTGACGCCGAAAGGGTGATGAACGATACAACATCAAAGGAGCCCCGGACAAAACAGATGTATGTGAGAAACATTTGTCATTTCCTCATGCAATGCATAACTCATAGACAACCATACGCCAAACATACAAATCGCAAACACATACCTTGAACAAAGCCTAGGACTAAAGCTGCCGTATTCAATTTCACGTGTTAAATACGTTGTCTAATCAAAGCTGCCTTTTTGCAAGTCTACACACACACACGCGTATCCCAAACAAAAACGGGCTTGATCAGTCGCAATCCGCCTTTGTTTCGTCCAAGCAACTGTGACAGATTCAAGGGCAAACAGGGATCCTTACATTATACACCTGAACATTGCAACTTGTAAATTGTGGTTTCGTTTCCCCTGATTTTGGTGGAAAAAGCCACATGTGTCAAATGGTTGCAAAATGTATCGATCTTTTAAGGAGCCCCTGGTAAAGTGTCTAAGTAAAGTGAGAACGAGCAACTTGGCCTGGCTTTCCAGGGGGTCCAAAGCCGAGGAATTCCGATCCTCACGAGTCGTTTCTCAAATCCCAGGCCCTTCCTGGCGGACAAAGCCATCGATGGCTTCGATGCCAGGCTGAGGGAACATAGGTTCGCCCTCGGTGTACTTCACTGCTAAGTCTAGGTTCCCTTCCCTTCCACCGCCAAACATTAGAAAGGAGGCCGTAAAGGGAAAAAAGGGACCTCCAGTGAAGGCTGCTGCAGGGTGTTGCTTGCCTGAAGCTCTTTCTGTGTCCCAGTCTTCTGAATAGCCTGCCTGGTTGAAGGCTTGCCAAGAGCTTTGCAAAATGCACTCGAGCACAGTTCGCACGGAGGGAGCCACAAATCAAGGAGTGTATCCGTACCAACTGCTGCCTAGATTACAGTACAGTCGAGATGCTCGCTATGGTTGTCGAAAATGACCTTTTCTGGATTTTAGTGGGCCATGCGCGAGACTATCGCAATGAAGAGAGCGTTCCCTTGATATCACAGAAGTGCCCCTAAAACCTTTTTGTTTCACAGCCATCCAAAATCTAGCCAGGGACCTGCTGATACAGTACTCCTTCAGTCAGTTTGCAAAGCTTGGCCCATTTCGTTGTACAAAATGATGGACAAGGGGCAAACTTTGCCTGCCACAGGCCTCACGCGCAGGGGGTTAACTTGCAGGGCCGCTCTTGGCTGATGGAATGCAAGGTTGCTTCAGGAGTTTTCGTTGGCCTGACCGCATGGACGATCTGGCACTCATGGAACAGGCCAGAGACCTGAATCAAAACAGCTCAGCCAGTGTAGCTCAATTCTGTCCAGCTGAACGAAGATTCACTCACTCTGGTGGATTCCCTAGCCAGGGGAACCAACAAAACTAAATGCCTGCTCTCCTCTCGGTTTCCCTGGAAACCTGGAACGGGTACCTTCCCTTTGTTTTTAGACCCCTGAAAAAATGAAAATATTTCCAGTAGTGATAGATTCCCTTTAAAACCAACAGGGGAACATAAAACATAGTCTTAAGCAAATGGAAGGTATACTTCCATCAAACACAAACCGGGTCATTTGCCAAGCACCGGCTCCAGACGTCGAGTTTTTGTCTCCAGAGGCCACCAGCATTTGGCCTCAGGCGTCCACCGCGATCTCTGCCAGGAACTGGCCCGTTGAAGGAACCCGGAGACCCGCAAGGTATCTGGCCCAACTGACACACTGAGGAAACCACGACCCAAACCGGGTTCCAACTAAAGTGGGTTGGTTGGTTGGGTGGGTCTGCCGAATTCTTTCTGGCTGGAAAAAAAGACATCGTGATCTGTCCCCCGTGTTCCTTCAGGCAAAGCGAATAACAAAGTGCTATTTAGCACCCACCAAGCTGGGGGTGTGCGCTTGCTCTCGGGGTCACTCACACCCCGCCACGCCTCGTGCTGCCTCCGCCGCCGCAGTACTGGATCTGTCAGGACATGGATCTGCAATGATTAACTCGAAGGCTGAACATACATGTCCAATATGTCCACAAATACGTATATATATGTATTATGAATCCCAGTCACTTGGTGAAATTAACATTGATCATATATTGATTGATCCCGGGAAACCTAATTGGCAATGAGTTCATATTGTGGCATACACTTGGCATTGAACACCAATATTCTCCCAACCTGAACTGACGCATCCCCCCAAAAAGACTCTTCAGTGCACTTAGCCAGACGATTCCCCCACCCTGTCCTGGCGAAACCACAGTGAAGCCTGAAGTATGGGTGTCCGAAATAAAGGGTAAGCTGCGGTTCAACACCCAAGAAACCAACCATGAGCATCCTCTCGGTAAGCAACATCCACTCGCCCTTTCAATTGCCTTGTCCGGTGAAATGGACGGCGCCGACTAAATCACCCAAAATCACCAACAAATCACCGGCTGTGCGTGTGGAATGCTGGAAGGAAAAAACACAAAGAACACCTGCGGCCGAAATCCTCCAGAACTCTCTGGAGGGGTTTCACGCAATCCCATCGAACAGGCTTAGAGAACAATAATTTGCAGCAACTGTCCCCAACTGACCTGAAAATTATGCTATCCTCATTTCCTTATTTTCAATGTGCCCTCACACTGCAGAAAAGGAACAACAACAAATGTTGAGCATTGCGTGTGAACACTGTAGTTCAAGCCTGATTGACATCTACGCGCATGCAATCCTTGTAGGTGAACATGTTTTCTGACTGGGCCACGCAGTTGAGCTCTCTGTTTGGGCTATGGACTGCAACATGTGACTTCAGACCTCAGACCGGTAACGCTCTCCACCCCTACCACAAGCAGCGGAGCCAGAAGATATGGTTTCACACAACGGGTATGTGTTGAAATGAGGGGGACCCATAGTGATTTCCCTGCTGATCTTCCTATGAAGGTAAAAAGGGCATTTTCCATTCAACACACACCAATGGCTCCAGGCACCCGCCTTCAAGGAAAGTTGCGAGAGCCGCTGGCACCAGCATCAGCCTACAGCAAATCGCGACCACAAGCAACCAGCAGGATCAATCAGGATCACACATACCCTGATATGGCCAACGTGCGCTCGGTATCACAATGTGCCCCTAAACCCAAATGTCCACAACCATTGATGTACAACAACACTGTATAACAAAGCGGCCGATCCTGAAAATGTCAAACCTGAGTCTGCGGGAGGTCCATTCCTTACATGTTCAGACGATAAGCAAAAGCGCATGGTCAACCCAACTCTTTCAGACCGGACTCCTCAAATAAGTGAAAACCCGAGAAACATCCTTCCTCTAAGGCGCGTGATCATGAGCATTTGCGCATCCGGTTTCAGACTTTCAGCTGGCGATCTCTCCTGACTAGCAACATCAACATTCCGAAAGGGTCCCTTGATCTTTGGGGATGGTTGACTCAATCGTGTCAAAGTTCCAAGAGCCAAGGGCCCTAGGGGTTTTATTCAAAAATGGAACTAGCTCCAACCTCAAACTCAAAAGAGTCGAGTTTCCCAGTAGACAGCTCCATTTCGCATAGTTTCTGGCGCCTGCCTCAGCCCTATTTAAGATTGGGACCCATGGGCGATTTGCCTTTGCTTCCCTTTCAAACAGGACCAAAACTGGCGAATTTGAAGGAATGCCCCCTATAATCTGCGAACCATCCCCGGTTTCCTTTCAGGAGTTAGCAGCAAACAAACAGGGTGTGTTGTGAGTTGCGGGCGCCAAAATGCGCTCGAGTCACACAGCCACCACTGAGTTTTGTTTCCGAATGGAATGTGTTATATCTATTAAGGACCAGTAGCCTTGTCCTTCCCTTGAGTACCTTACCGGGCTTTGTAAAAAAATCCTCCGCCCCGCCCGCCCGTTTCGACGTGCGGATTGCGCGCGATCCGCGGCAACCGGAGATCAACCGGAGATCCCGGGCGGGTGGATGGAGGCCATGGCGGAGGGCATGGGGTTCGGCGAGCTGAGGCCATAGGGCGGCGCCGCCGAGGGCAAGTCCTGGAGCGCGGATTTTGAGCTGATCGATAGGGAATGACTTTCCGACTCTCCGAGTCCGGGTCTTGGCGTGAAAAGAAACGGTTTTTGGGGCTTCCCTTAAAGGAAATCATAGGGGATGGTTTGTGATTCCCTTATTTGAAGGAAAGCAATTAGGATGGATGGTTGATCTCGCAGTCATTCCATTTCTCATGCTGAGAATCAGCAAGACGATTGCGCCCCAGATTCACAGTACTGAAGAAGCAACTCGGGCCTCCCCCGAGGCTCAGCAAAACGAACAGCCCACAAATCCAAGCAATACCCGACTCAATGCAGAAAACCCTCCTTTATAAGGCATCCTCCACAAACGGGGGGACGCCACCGTTTTGGCTTTTATGCTATGCAGGGCCCAAAAACAAGAAAATGGAACGCCGATGAAGTAGTTCTCGAAACCACCAAATCAGATTTGAGACCATCAAATTCAGATTACCCCGCCCCTTGCCCCCATCCCCGCACACGTCAGATGTGAAACATTAATTGAGCGCGCTGCTCTTATTTCGAAACCTGCACAGTATTCAAACTATTTTTCTAGAATCCTCCTCATAATTGGGTTTCCCATACACCAAGTAAGTCAATTAGAGCAAGAGCTGAAGTTAAGAATAGCGGAATCAGATTTGGGCAAAGGAAACAAATCGAGCGGCAAAAACTGTCGAGCTCACTCAGGAAGGTCCGAAGGTCCTTTCTCTGGGGAAATTTCCACAGAGTGCTTGAGGGGCATGCGGCATGAATTCTTGGAGAGCTTGCAAAACCTAAACATCCAGTTGTGATCAAACACGTTGGTACTCAAACAGCTTGAGAACTATGTAAATCATCGAAGGGGCCGCGCCTGTATGGGGCTTCCCTTGCTGGAACAACTCGAGAAACAGCAACATGGGTGCATACTCCGGAAAGTGACTTGACAAGGTCTGGGGCAACCTAGCATGTTTGGACACACTCACCTTTTCCGGTTGGCATCCGTTCTCTTCAATTGCTACAACTCCTCCTCGAACCTGGAAAAAAAGGGAACCCTGTTCGGGGAAGACCATTTTTAGTGGGGCAGCCACCCAAAAAAATGAAAAAATAATTGGTGCCACTGAACAACTGAGCCTCCAATGGGAAATACGGGAACCCAACAAAACGGCCGTTGCCACGCCGAAAGGGCAATGCTCACTCACTCACTCAAGTTCGCACGGGGCCAGCTGATCGGGCGCAGCTGATTTATTGGGGGGATCAGGCCCAAAAACGGCAACAGCAAGTGCAAAGGGTAATGCCTAAAAGGGGGGGGGAACCTGAACATGTGGCTGTGGGTCAAAAATAGGTACCGAAAATGGCTTGCCCTGCTAAATGGAACCCATGACTAAAACCTGTGGTCCCTGGCGGTTTAATTTTGACCCATACCCATGTAAAAACCATTCGCACGAAGATCCCAATGCAGTCCCCGTAGGCTGCCGCGGTGGGCACGCCCACTGGCGCCACGTTGTAGCCCAAGGATTGAGCCACTTGCGCCGCCGCGGCCTCGCACGGTAGGAGTTAGAGCCCAACATGGCTGCCCTGGGGTTCGAGCGATCAGAACAATGGGGGTTAATATAACCACCAAATTGCTTACCTAGGGAGTTTCATCATCCAAATTGGGTCAATAATTCTGTTGATGGGGCTTGAACCGCAGGGGCTGGCTGTGCACACCAAATTGGAAAGTCGGTCTGTCTCCAAATGTGAAATTGCCCGGGAGCAGGCATGTGGAATCAGGAAGGTTCATGGTCTCGAACTGTTTTCGTGAATGCGCATGAAGACGTTCATTGGTGCTCCATTCGTATGCGAGGGTACTCCACGGCAACCTAGCATGACACGTCAGAAATGGCTCTGATTCCCGAACTGCAAAATGGCAACATGTTCCTAGGGTTTCCCTTTGAGACAAGTCCCTCAAATGAACACCAGCAAAGCCGTGCTTTAAGTGGAAACTCCGTTTGACCATCTGCTGGGTGTAACCTGAAAAGGATACGTTCTACCCTCACATCGACACACCCCACCGATGGCCTAAGCTGCAGCCATTGAGCAAGGCAAACCAAGCAAGCGACTAGCCGTGGCTTATTTGCACATAAAAATTGACGAATGCCCTTCTGCATAAACACCCCCCTTCGCATAAACACCCCCCTTCTGCATTGTGCCCGTTTGGACCCAAAATATGAAACAGGTGTTTACGCAGAACCGCCTCTGTCAACATAAACATGGAAATCGCACTTCCTGCGATATCAAGCGGGATTCCCCTCTCTGTGACTTCGCTGTCTTGAAGGGGGTCCCTTTCTTTTGCATCGCAGCAAGCGATTCCATGTATTCTGACCTAGATGTGCTTTGGATAAACGAATGGAACTGGAAGAAATGACTGGGAACCCAGATTTTGGGGTTGACGATGCTTGGTACAGGATCTATCAAAAGGAAAACAGGGTGCCAAACAACTACCCAGTGGTTCCCCGCTCCCTATAGGCAACCCTTCGCCATTTACTTAGTGGCTATAAAGGCTGGCAAGCCCTTGGTTACCTACTACCATATTCGTGTGTCTTGTTTTAGGTCGGACTCCCCAACTGGCGCAACGGTTCTCTTCTTTGTTTCCTTTTTCTTAAACAGGGGTGCCGCACCCCAAAAAAAGACGGGCCACCCATGTAGGGAAATCATATCTGGGCTGTCCTCAGATCCGCTAGTTTAACTTTTGGCGGGTTGAATGGAAATCCAACCACGAAACGCTCAAAGCTAAAAGGCTCAGGAACTGGATGGCTGGGAGCCACCGAGATATGGCTGTGGGTCAAAACCAATGGTACCCTTTTGGGGTAGGTGCAGCACCCATTTTAGGCTATTTTAGTGGGGATTGGGATGTTCACTGGGGGTCGGAATTTTGACCCATGGCCATAGGGAAATGGCATCACTGGGCTATGGGTCCAACTTCGCCCTTCGCCCGCCTGCTGGGCACTCACCTGCGCCACCTGCGCTTGGGTGGCCGCCGCCTCGCGACTCGCGAGTGCTCGCTCGGACATAGGCACGGAACACCATGCCGAACAAAGAAACAGCTCACTTCCTCTTTGGTGCTGTAGATCCCGCAGCAAAAAGTTTAACTTTTTGGAGGTGGAAGGCAAATATGATAGGTATCCAAAAGTTAAAGTCTAAAGATCCAACCCAATAGCAGTAGTCCTGAGTCCATTGGCACCAAAACGTAGACAATCTTGTTGTTTGCCACTAACATGGTCCAAACCCCAAAAGTAGGTAATCAAGTGCCGGAACTCGTGAAGTGAGAACTACTGGTAATCGCTGTTCAATCAACCCCTATACGACATATAACCTATATCTGTAGATACGGCCAGGTGATTTGGCAAACCCCGATCAAACCCACATGTTTGTTTGTTCCGCCGTTTCACTAGGGTCCAAGATCTCTCGGTCACCAACATTTTGGCACGGCCTGCCTCCGCAGCGACCGATCTTCTCAAGGGTCGCGTGTTTGATCGCCACTTGTGGGTGTTGGCATCGATTCATGATCTTCCAACCTCCTCATGAACAGTTCAAAGCTTTCTTGGCCAGACTTCGACCCCCCTGAAACGGAATTCGCCTCTTGCTAGGAAACCAGCAAACACCAAGCTGCAACAGAACAAGGTGCCCTGATAGGCTCCTGCGCTGTGCTGCCATATCTCCAGTGCCACTGCTTGTACATCTCAGTTGGACCAATTTACCTCATAGCTTAAATCCAACATGACAGGGACTCCTGGCAAGCCTAGACATGGGCCAACCTTTGATACGCGCTCGAACTGCTTCTTGTCTCATCTTTTCTTCGCAGCAAATGGTGGGCACTCCAAACCCCAGCGTGCCATTTTCGGCTGCGCCCCAAATAACATGGCACGCCCAATCGTGCCGTTTTCGGCTCGTCCCCAAACTACGCGGCACTCCCCAAGGAAGATCAATGCGCTCGGATTCATCTTCCCAACTGTACAAGGTGCAAGTAGGTAGCATCGAATTGGAAGCATCCTTCCCCATGATGCATCAGGCCGCAGCAGCAGCAGCATAGTCTCTTCAAACCCATTGGTTCTGTATATTCCTGGGAGGCAAATGTAATATTTCTGTTTTCGACGTGTTTGTTCTAGTGCCACCAGTCGCCCAATGGTGTCCGGCACGTCAGTCAGCATCACTCGTCGCTGGAAAGGTCTTCGTCGTCGTCGCTGGAAAGGTCATCGTGAGCACCTACATACTAGGACTAAAGGGGCCGTCCATGACGCTGATGGAAACCCACCCCCCCCGAAAGCACCAAAAGACCAACGGCCTCCTTGCCAAGCGGTTGCAAGGGTGGTAGATTCCTGCCAAAAGAAATGGCTCAAGTCAAAGATCCGCCGAGACACCATTTCTTTGCTTGATGAGCGAGCACAGCTGACGAGACCACATCGGAGCATACGAGCAGGGCCCCTCCACGCCATTGAAAATGCTTTGCAGCAAGATCCTCAAGTCTTGCATGGAGTCCTGCCCGCAACCAACGCCTTCTGTGCGAGACTGATGAGGAGCAAGCCGGGGCACTGACGGGGCCATTAATTTTCTTCATGTGGCTGTGGGTCAAAAATAGGTACCCCAAATGGAACCCTGGCAAGTGAAAACATGCGCCCGAGTTCTAAAGAAGAAGCGCCCTAGCTGGAGAGATAGCTGAGGCATCAACACCCTCATCACTTGAACATGTTGCGTCTGTTTGAGAAGCACATGGCCAACCATCGACCAACAACCCGACCACCAGGATTCTCCTCGATGGTCTCTCTTCCGAAAAAGCTTGCCACTGACTTGGCCACATCCTGATTGAAATAGCCGTCCTGGCGAAAGGTGCAGCACTCTTCTGAAATTGCAGATATCGGCTGTTTTATGAAATGCTCGATGTCCACTTACGTTTTCTTCATATCTATTATATTGTTGAACTGTTTGAGGGGTTAGTCGAAAGCAACTTCATTTCACCCAAAAAAGTTCAAGTCTAAAAAAAATCCAACCCCATAGCAGCCAGGATCTCTTGATTGAAAAATCGCTTTGCTCTCCAGCTGCTCAACAAACTTCGGCCCCTAGGTCCTCCAGTAGAGAGGTTAGAATACGGGTACCAACTTTTTCTGTAGTCTATTTTACAAGTAGGGGAACCCTCCCAACCAAAAAAGAAACGGGTGAGAAAGGGCACCTAGCTGGGGAACCTACTTCGCCCCCCGAAACCGCCATCCTCCTCGTCAGTCTCGAGCCGCTGTCGCATCTCGAGCAAGACCTTCCCCGGCGTCTTCTGAGTCACCCGCCCAGCTGGGCGCATCGTCACCCAGACCTCCAGGCCGTGACAAGCGAGCGAGCAGCGCGAGCGCCGGAAAAAGCGCCGCGCCCCGAGGCGAGGGAAACGGAACGCCGAAGCGTCTTCTCTTTTAGGGCGGGAAACAAATGCAAAACAGATTTGGGGATGCGGATCCACTGGGAATCTGCCGTGAAGAGCATACGAGAACTTGAAAACTACCCAATCTTCGAGGGATTTACAAGTGGCTGAATTAAGCAATTGAATTTGGAAGAGGCGCAGCGAAAGTCAGCCATGGAACATCAACCTTCTCAAAGGAGCTTCTTCTTGGCGCCTGCCCGTGCTCGCAACCGTTAAGCACAACTGTTCTCGGATCAAAGGCCCTGATTGCAAGTCGCTGTAAGTATAGCAGTCAACTCTAAGGATGGCAAAATGCAGGACGGAGTCTATGTTGTCTTTCAGAAGACCCCCCAAAATGATGGGGGTTCCTTTTAGTTTCCCTTCAAAACCAACCAAAAATGCAGGACTCTGAGGGACGGAGTCTATGTTGTCTTCCAGAAGACCCCCCAAAATGATGGGGGTTCCTTTTGGTTTCCCTTCAAAATCAACCAAAAATGCAGGACTCTGAGGGACGGAGTCTATGTTGTCTTTCAGAAGACCCCAAAATGATGGGGTTCCTTTGGGTTTCCCTTCAAAACCAACCAATGGTACCCTCAAAAAAATAACAACACCCATATTCTGCATGCACCAAAAACCATGCAACCCCCCCCCCTGCCTGACTGTCATCCGACACGTTGCCCTCGTCAACTTCATAGAACATCTCCGCGCGAATCTCAAGCACCTCCTTCTGGTTGGAAAGTGCAGCAGAGACGATGTGGGTCACTTTACCTTTGCGCTTGAAAGGCCTGTGAACAAGCTCAACAGGTACGTTCAAAGGCAATGTGTGTTTTTACAAAACATTACTCAAACAAACACACAGCCAGGTGGCCATACCCATTAATCTTGGTTCCTTTCTGCATCACGGGGCCGTCGTCGGCGCTGTATTCGTCCATTTTCCGGTCGAAGTCTGCGTCAGAGTACCGCGGAAGCTCTTTCCACTTCACAATCTTGGAAGCTCTCCGAAAGCCTTGCCAGCGGTCTGAAATGGGGGTTGTCTTAATTTTGGGGGACCCAAAAATTTCTGGGCAGGTTTCCCTTTCAAACCACCCCAAAAACGGTACGTACAAGCCCAAGGCTTCAACAGTATCCGCCCAAAAGCACTTCTCCAGAACTTGCTTGAAACTTTCCACCAGCCTCCAGCAACAGCCCAAGCTTTTTCCCTATCCAATTCTACATTCTCACCTTTGGTGTCGCGAATTCGCGAACGGGCACATTGTCTTTGACGGCCAGCAATGCTACACCGACCTTTCATCCACAGCTATGGGCCCCAAGCCCAACTTGGCGCCCAAGGTGCAGCAAAAGATGGCGACACAGTGAAGAACAAGGGTTCTCAAACGGCCACCAAAGCCGGATCGCCCATAATTTTTTCGCGACTTCCTGAGGCAAAGCCAAATTTTAGGCTTCACCCCCGGTCCATGGTGGTTCTATTGACCTTTGGTTGAATGGTGGTTTGAAACCCAGCACAAGGAAACAACTCCTCGAGCCAAGTGCTGTCCGAGCAGCGAAAGCGTGAGGCCCAGGCAGCCCCAAGCCGAGACTCCGCCACCAGGCCAGCAACGAGGGGTGCGTCCAGCTCAGTACTCGCTTGCTCTTCCTTAGATCGATGGTCGGAAGATCATTCACTGGATCCTGGGGCCCTCATCGATTGCAGGGAAACAAACCACTGGGATCCACAAGTGGTCTTCACTGGAATGGACAAAGTACGAAATCCTGACAAGGGCTTAGAGGGAGCCGTGGACTATTCACTTAACTCCTGGACCATCTAAGAATCTAAGTGGGGCCTGAGGCATGCGATGGGTTGCAGGCTCCAACGGTCACCAGAAGTCTACGGTGTCCATGCTGTGCATCTACGCGAAAAAAAGGCGGGAATAACCACACGCTTGGTGTACTTGTAGTTTCTTCTTGGCAGCTCTGTCAACTTCATCTATTACATCCAAGTGGAACACACTCAAACCTCACGTTTTTGCCCAGGCATCTTTTAGAGAACTGAAAACATGGCGGCGGCAGGGGTGGGGTTTTGTCTACAACCACTGATGAAAAATCAGACTTTTGGATAGAGCTTGAATAGGGCTGTTGAATCCGGTACAACTCTTTTTCCTCTTGTCCAGCAAAGACTCCCACCAGGCTTCCAATTGCTGCGCTGCCCGCAAAGGGCTGAAGCCGATCCCAGGGGTGCGCAGCACTTGCTGGAACTCCTGTGCGCTCGGCTTGGGCATCTCCCAATGAAAGTCGCTGATAAGTAAAAGCTTATGATGGAAAGCAAAACAACAGACACTCTGCTCAGTTCTGCTTGGAAGCAACATGGACCATGCAACCTAACTTGATGTCTTTACATGCGAATTTGCTGCTGCACCAACATAAACACAAACAAAGTCTAGACTTGTTGTACTTGTTGTTCACCAACAAAGTTGCCTTGAAACACCGAAACTCGGGCCGTGAGCGAAACAAAAAAAAGGCTGCCACTGGATGGCCGCTTCAAGACTTAATGAGTTTTACCGTGGTTTTCATGGAAGCCATCGCCACTTTTGGAGGTTCCGAAATTCTGGCCATGGAGGAGCCCCATAGACCCAGAAAAAGAGTGGGATCCTGTTGGTGTTCCTGAAAAGCAGGCTAACTACCCTCATTTCCCGGTGGTTGTCCTCAAACCTTGAGGTGTAATTACCGTCATTTCCGTCTGGCTTGCCCCCCCAAAAACGAGACAATTCTGGGCTGTCCGCACATCCTCTGCTAAAAGTTTAAACCTTGAGTGGCTTAAATGGAAACTACTACTAAACCCCAAAAGCCTAAAAAGCTAAGGAACCGGACGGCTGGGGGCCACCAATGGTTTCCCGTGAGCCCAATCCCGGGAACTGGACCGGAGGGGTGTGATCACAGACGGCAAAACAAGCTTAGTTACCCTGATTTCCCGAAAAAAAAAACAACGATGGTTTTCCCGGAAAAAACAAAAAACGGTGGTTTTCCCGGAAGAAGAAAAAAAGGGGGGTTCCCTGTTCCGAGCCAACCCCAAAAGGCCCCGTGGCACCGAAACGCCTGGCTGAAGAGCTCCCAGCAGGCCGCCTCACAGCAGCGCCGCCAGAAGCGGTCCACGCACACCACCGAGCCCATGGCTTCGGCTTGGAGGAAGCGCCGCCGGCCTGGCGCCAGCGCTTTTTCGTGTTGGGGGGGGGGGCCTGGCGTTACCTTTGTTTTTCTCGTTTTTTCTGTTCGGCATATGATACTTCCAGTAGCCATCCAGTAGGGATAGATTCCAGGTGTCCTCCATTTTGGCTTCCCGCTTTTGTTGGCTTGGAGCCCGGCGGTGTGAGTGCTTTCAGTTTCTTGTTCGGCAGTCTGCTTCCCATTCATCGGTGGTTTGGAGCTGGCATCTGCTGTTTTCCTTTGGATTTTGTTCGGCAGGTGTTGTTCAGTTGCGGTTTTGTCCCCCGGAGGAAGCGGCAGTCCTCCATTGTTTTCGTTTTTCGTGTTCGGCATCCTCCATGCCCGATTTGTTGTCCGGAAAACAAACAAACATATGCCCAGCAGTGATCGAATTATTTAAAACCTTCTGGTTGTGTTGGGATTGATTGATTCACTCAAGAAACCACACGTACAAACCGGTAGAAGTGTTCATCCCTCCGGCTACATGCCTCGATTCTCCCTAGCACGATCTGTGTATCTCACAAACTGGAGGTTACCAGATCAAATAGGCATGAAGCAAAAGGCCAATTTGAAAACCCACCCTAAAGCAGGAACTCTGAACCCAAAAAACGCAGCAACTCATGGCCGCAGAAAAACCAGCGCCTTCTTTGGCTGCCAATTGATGGCCGCCGAGCCAACGGCAAATCTCCAGCACTAGCATCCCAGGAACCAGAGGCCACGAATGCGCTTGAGGCGTAGCACAAGACCTGCAGATGGGATGATGCCTAAGGCAAAAGATCTCCCCATCGGGAACAAACACAAAAACAACAACAAACAAACAACATCGGATCAAGAAGAGCAACTAACATTTTCCATCATATGCAATGACAGCTGTTGGGTGATTGGATCAAGACAGGACAAGCCAGCAAAGTGCTTGCAACCGGCTGCGATTGTGTCGAGGCACCTCTTCAACCGCTTTGTTTCGGGCTGCTCTGCCATGGCGTCGCTGGATCGAGCCTGTGCAGTCATGTTCTTGTAAGGTAAGGTGACTTGTGAAGGCATGAAGTTGTGCCAATATTCATATACGCATGTTTTTGTTTTTGTTTCTCGCTCCTGAAAGTGTCCTGCGAGTCGTGAACACCAAAGCAGTGAGGCGCCATGAAGCTTGCCTCGCCCGCGAGTGCATAGAATATTGAATGACTGCAACTTGACTACGGATATGATGCCAGCCGTAAATACTTTTAGCCGTTGAAATGTAGACCTTCTTCGTCTTGAGTCTGTGTCATGCTCGCCGCTTGTGGCAAATCGAGCCGAGACATCACCAGGGAAATTAATGGAGCTCAGGAGACTCTACGGAGGGGACTTCCATGGCCCAAGAGGCTTGGGGCTTGTGGTAGATTTGAACCTATGGAAACCCATGGGAACCCATGGGAACACTGCGGCAACTACGGTACAAAAGGTCCGGCTTAAATTCAAGTACTTGGTTTTGCAAATCTATCTGCGCTAAATACTAGAATTCACCAAGTCCGTTGCTCTGCTTGATGGGCTGTGATCCAGGTTGCGAGAGGATGACACGAATTGAAGAGCATGGTTAGCCTGAAAGTGAATAAAAGCTGGAGGTCTCTCTCTCTCTCTCTCTCTGTCTGTCTGTCTGTCTCTCTCTCTCTCTCTCTCTCGCTCTCTCTCTCTCTTTGCTTTTTATTTTTTTTGAGGCGGGGGGGGGGGGAAAGCAAGTGAAACACCCTTTGGCATGGTCTGTGAGCCTGGCGTCACATTTGTTTCTGTGAGGCTTGCCCTTGAAAAGGAGTCAAGGTCGTCTTCGACATCCTGCAAAAATAGCTGGCATTGTTGAAGGCAACACAATAATAATCAAGGCATTATCTTGTGTCTGCTCTGCACTTTTCACGGGTCGTGGCAACAGCCCATGAACACTGTGGTGCTCACAACTCCCATGAAACTAAGAGAGAGAAGTAAGCAAGGCCAAACCAGCTGCGTGTGAGTAAGAGCCCTCTTAACATGTGAAAGGAAACGGGGTCTACTTGATCCGGGTGAACATTCAGGAGTTCAAACCCTATTCAGCTGCACTTGCCTCTTGGCGCAAGTTACTGAACACTTAGTTCAAGTACACAGTGCCGCCCTGATAGATTTCTAACTCTAGCACCAAACCTTCCTACATCCTAAAACCGGTGCTTGTAAGAACAACAACCGCAAGTAGGGGTGTCTTTGTTAAAGCTGGAACCCTTTTCTATTTGGGGGCTGATAATATGGGCGATGTTCATTTCGAAAAGATGAGGGCCCAGTCAAAGTCTTTCGACACTCGTTTTAGAACGGTCCTCGGAAGAACGAGGCCCCAATGCCATTGCATTTTCGCGAGACACCCTTGCTGTATTTCGTGACTTTTGTTGCGCATTTAGCTTGGGTAAGGGAAGTCAACCGCTGTACCCACCAACGCATTTGGGACTCTTTGCTGAGCATCATTCAAATAGATTTGAACTTGCATGTTTGGAGGGTGTTCCACAATTAAAAAAAACAAAGCCATTTGGGCGTCAGTGTTTTTGTAAGGCGCGGCAACCTTTTCGCGCTGGTTTCACGGGACACCAATGGGAAGACCAAACTTTACTGGTTCCCCATTTGGGTGTGGCTCAAACTTAAGGAGCTAGGGCAAACCACAGAGCTTTTCGTCTTTGGTTCCATTTACCAACATGCCATTTATGTCGGCCACAGCCATTTGGGTATGGGTCAAAATTAAACCGCCAGGAGACCGCAGGTTTTAGTCCATATGTCCATTTACGAGGGTTCCATTTTGGGGAACCTATTTTTGACCCACGGCCATTTGAAGACGCACCCAAAGAGGTGAACGTTCAACTCGTGCTCTCCCCGCCTGCGCCGCCGCCGCCTGAGCCGCCGCCACCTCCGCCGCCTTGGCGGCCGCAGCCTTGGCTGCGGCAGCCTGGCGCAGCGGACGAGGCGAGGCGAGGCGAGGGCTCCCAACGCCCGGGCACCTCCTAGGAGTGCCTTCCATGACCATTCCTAGGAATCCTTCTAAACCCAGGGACCTCTCAAAATGCAGGGAAAACAGCTTTGGAAAAGGAGGAGGCTGGAAAAGAATGGGGAATCAACGCCTAGAAAATCCTAGAAATCTGGGTTCCCTCTCTCAGGGAGAGACAGGGCGTCCTCCGTTTCCCTTTTTGGAACCTCCAAAAAGTGGCGATCGTTTCAATGGAAGGAATTGCAACTTTTGAAGGGGAAATCCTGTACCCAACTGGGTGTGAGATGTTCAGATGGATCGGCCTTCTGTTGCTTCTACCAAAATGAGCTAAAACATGTCAAATGCCAGCTTTCCTTTTTCAGGACCATTGAGGGTGTCTCGATTATGCCTCTCATTGGTTTGCAAAATCATGGCCAGCCCAAAAAGGCCACTGCGAACGCTTCAACAGCTCCTTTTGGAGACGGAACAACGTTGTGTGTGATCAAGTTGTTCTTTGCGCAAGTTTTGATGGTACTCCCACCAACCCTTACTGTTTAACTCACTTCTTGAGTGGATGGGCCCGGACAAGTCCGAACTTTTCGTTTACCAAAAGCACGCAGCGGCTCAAGTCCAACTCCGGGAGTGAAGGGCATGGTGCGGCCAGCCCGAAGCCGGCTGGTTTTGCTTGCCCGCCTGGGTGCTGGCGGTGTAGGCATGCTGAGCCCACCTCGGAGATGTCACGGGCAACTACCTCCCGGGCTCCATACCCAGCCTGACGAATCAGACGAGTAGTGGGCCACTGGCTGAAGCAAACCAAGATATCTGCAAAACTCACCCGATTGCTATCATTTTGGGCGCAGTAATGATTCCCCAACCTGAGATCATCCATGGACCGTGGAGAGAAAGGCATTTACATCGTGGGTGAAGTTGCAGATGCCGGTAGGTGAGGCAGCAATAAGTTGCCCAGTTTTGGAAGGGTTGCTTCAAGTAAAAAAGACCACCCTCAGGGCCCCCGTGCTTGGATGCTTCTTCACGGAAAGACCCCCTTTTTTGTTTGCTTGGCTTCAAAGAGACAAACGCAGCCTTTTCTGGTTAGTTGACTTGAAGGTGAACGGCTCAACCCAGCGCTGGTTGGCTTTCAACTGGGTGCTTGACGTCAAAGCAGCCATAGTGCTTCCGTCTTTTGGCCCCGAATTTACTTCTGAGTTGGGGCCTACCTCAACAGTCGACAGAAGGTCTGAGCAACAAGTCGAATGGGCTTGTCCACTGACACTGTCTTTCTGAGTCTCTGAGTGTACCTTGTTGTGATTTCAAAGGGAAACCAAACCCAAAACCACCAGTTTGGGGTGATTTCAAAGGGAAACCAAACCCAAAAACCACGATTTTGGGTGTCTCCTGGGCAAAAGCCGCAGGTTCTGCGGCCGAGAAGTTTTTCGCCTCTCGTTCACCTGGCCCACCCAACTCTCTGGTCTCTGGGTCTCCGGCTGAGCAGCTGCCGCGGAGGGCGGCGGCGGAAGAGGCATGACAGGGGGCATCTTCACATTGGCCTCGCAAGAAGCTGCGAAGAGGAACTCTGGTAGCAAAACCCACCCGAACCTAGGAGTTGATCCTGACCCCATGCGCCCATTTCATGTTTGGGTCAGGAAAGCCGGGAAACTGTCGCTGCGTGCTGTTGACTTTCTCTTTGGGGGGGGGCAAAGGATTTCTGGAGGCCCACCGGAACCGAATACGAAAAAAAGAGGGTGATGGCCTGCTACAAGGGCAAAGGAAAGGATGTGCCAACTGCAAGCAACTCGCACAAAAAGGAACCTGCTTCGGGGCCGGAACACCAAACAAGAAGCGGAACAAGGATGCTGAACAAGGACCTCATTCGTATTAGGAGTTGGTATTACTCTTTGCGCTTGAATAGGGCACTGTCTTAGGCAACCGTCTCAACAAGTTCTGGCTTAGGAATATACTTGATGTCTTATCCTACATGCTCTGTTGGCGCCCCCACCAAAAGTCCAAAATTAGCACTTTGTGGGCGGGATGTGCCAAGAAACCCTAATTAAACTCCAAAAGCCTCACAAGGTCAGACTCTAAAATCCTCACAAGGTCTGAGAGTATGGCTTGGAAACAGGAATCCTTACATTATACACCTGAACATTGCAACTTGTACATGGTGGTTTCCAATTCTTTAATTTGGCGGGAAAAACAAGGCCATGATTCAAATATCAAGGCAAAATGGATTGATCTTTTAAGGAGCCCTGGGAAACCCTCACAAGGTCAGACTCCAAAAGCCTCACAAGGTCTGAGAGTATGGCTTGGAAACCAGCAAGCTTCCTGCCCAAAAAAAACAAAGTGAAAACACACCCGTCGCCCCGTCGCCTCAAAGGAGGTCGCCGCACCGCGACTCGGCCGGGCCTCGCTCGCTCTCCAGCTGGCGCGAGCGATGCCGGCTGCGAAAAGGGTCGGGGGCTCTGTGGACTGAGGGTCGGGGGCGTGAATGGAGTTGATTTCCTAGGGTTGACAGAAAGTCAACTGAGCGTCAAGGGGGGGAAGCTGGCCAGGAATGGGTATTACCTGGGGCTTACGGGGGGGGGAGGTGGGGTGGGGTTTTATTAGTTGGGGGTTCCAATCACTTACGAATTATGGAGTTGCAATGACACTTTCCACTCGAAAACAATGCTTGTCAAGAGAAGGCTCGTATTTGCCATGGCAAGTTACTGCTCCCAACAAATCTTCAAGCAAGCCTTGGATATGTAATTAGCATACCACACCCATGGCTTTAACTCCCAACCACCAAAGACTGCCCTTGCTGGCCAAGCAAGGCACAACCCACCCTCAAAACCACTCCAGGCGTTCCCAAGAAGCACGAGCATTCCCCAAATGTCATTATCTTGCGGGCTGTGGCAACCGTCCCTGCACCTCTGAACCTGAAAGGTGTGGAGAGGAATTCATGGGCTTAGCTGCCATTTTAGAGGGTGTTCACCGGCCAAAAAAAAACGCCTCTACAAAATGGTGTATGTCACCTTCAATCCACCGCTACTTTATAGTGGCTACAAAACCCATGTTCCAACTTGAGCAGTGCTCCGGGATTATACACTAGAAGTCCTTAAGGAATAAAGCTTCCCTCAGCACTGGCCCAGTGATCAAAAATTGAGCGCCCGGCTTGCGGCAACAATACATCTAGGAGGCCTCGGTGTGGCGCAAACGGTGGACCTGGTAAGGGGCATGTGTGGCAAGCTCGTTTGATCCCCTCAGGTGAGCGGGGTCAAGTTGGGCGATGTACATCCGTTAAGCTTAAGCTCAAGCTGAAGCTACCAGCCAAGTGGCAATGCATCCTTCCAACCTCCACACACAAAAAAAGCAGGGACAAAGCTATCCTGCTTGGTTGAGCTGTCTGAAACAGGTACAACTTTACGATGTGCGGAACTGAAGCTCTTGCCCATCTGATGTAGATGCAGCATTCGCTTTGGAAATCAACCTGCTGGAAGACTGCATAGTTACACGCAACTATTTTGAGGAATGCCCCGCATGGGTTGTTTGTGGTGTTATCCAACTCGGGGTCTCTCCACAAATGGCGGGTTCAAGCCTTCCTTTCGGCAATCAGCCAAGCGAGGGATGTCAACTTTTGAAGGAACTATCAGATAAGCGGGCTTGTCAAACCCAGTGTCGCCTTTTGGGATCGTTAATTTTGGGCCGGATTTGAAAGTCCAGAAAGATCTGAAGGACAAAGCTGTTGTCTTCTTCACAACCTTCAATCCCTGGAATGGTGCCCAGCTTGTGTTCGCATACTCGGCGATGCACCCGGGACCCGATACCATGCTACTCTTGCAAGTCCCGAAACTTGCTTGCCCAGAGCATCCGCTGAACGAAAGAAGCACTCTTTTGCAACCTGAAGAAGAGGAATCGTTGCTGGGGTGCCGCGTTTGTGACATCCGCATACAAACTACAAAAAACTCCCTTCCTCATGGCTCATTTGGTTTGTTTGGACAAACAACATGCTCCATATATGGGTGCGTGACAAAATAGGGGCGTTTCAATGGTGAAACATGGTGAGTATCCTTTCGGAATTCTGGAATTCTGGATTTCCTTTACACCAAGGTAAACCTGGTACTAAAACCAAACACATGCGCGGCCTATGCGAAGTTTTGTAAAGTGCACAGGTCCCATCTCTTTGGCCTGAGCCCCAGACCTTCTGACCTGGCGAGCTCGCCCCGATTTGGTGGGAGCCGAAAGGAGGCACAGTGGGACACTTCAGGAAAAACCAAAGGGAACCAAAGGGAAACCAAAGGGCGACCAGCCATTTGGTGGAAAACCGCCGATTGCAAGAAACCTAAACTTCTGGAAGTTCAAGCAAGGTGGCGATACTGACGCCGAATGATGTCGATTGAACAAGTCCAACTGGGCTTCGCACAAGGAGGCCCACCCAAAAGGCATCTCCACAAATATACAACGCACACACACACACACATTCATGGCTTACTTGAGACTCACTTTATTCGCAGCGACGCACTATCACTACTCACATGACATGCACAAGCAAATTCAAACAAACACAATTGAGTGCTTAGAATGCTGTGGCTGAGAGCAACAACTTGGAAGACTGTTCTGAAATTATCCCTCATGCCCTGAGATTGATCAGTTTGCCGAGCGATCCTGGTAAGAAACAAAGAAGCCTGTCGAAGGTTAGAAATTTGGGGAACCAAACCAGAAGGACAAACCCCAAAGAAGACATAAGGGAATATTTGCCCCTTCTTTACTCTAAATCTTGTCCTGAAGCATGTTCCAGTGGTCTGGTGTGTGGTGGTACCTTTGAAACAAGGACTTTTACAGGTGCCATGGAACAAATGGAATGAACCTGATACGCTCAGAAAGCCCGCCACTGGTCCGGATCCATATTCCCTTGGTGAGTCCAACGAGCTTTTCCCACAAGGGTCCCAAACCAAAACACTTGAGCAGCGCCCAAAACCCAGTGACTTTTGGTTCTACCGACACCTCTACATGGGCTTTTGTAGGCCCTTCTGGACTTTTGTGAAAACAGGTAGTAGACCCACCTACTAAACAAGCCAATCCGGGTTTAGGGCGTTGCCAGCGCTGCTCACTTGTGCAGATGCTGTGGCCTCATGGAGAGGTGTCGCAATTGCTGCGCATTCACCTGGCAGCGGTCAGAAGGCACTACTAAGTTACTAGGAGTAGGTTCCCTCCTCGGCCAGACTTAACCCCCTGCTAAAAGCTGGTTGTTGCTAGTTGAAGGGGGACATAAAAGAACACCAAAGAGCTAAAAAAAAGATGAGCATGAGCCGATGAGATCATCCTTGGAGCACATAAGCCAAGGGTTCCTCCTCAGACTTTGGCCAAATCACATTCATGGCTCCCTTGAGAAAACTCGCGTGACTGAACCATCATCCCAAACACAACATGATCCTGCAACAACCAACCACGCGTACAGGTCAATCAATCGGTTTTCAGGGCGCGTGTGGACACAATTGCAAGGGGACATCTCATAACCCAGCAACGGCACGTCAATTGCACACATTGGGGATGAAAAGTCTGCCGCAGATCCCAGGTCGTGCAGAATAGCGATCTGAGAATCGTTGGAGTCGACCCCAAAGACAGCCGGCGCCGCTGTCTTAGTCTTGTGACAGCTTCCAAGACATGTGATGTACCCAAACACCCAGTCAAGCTCCGCCCTGATGGGAATCATTCGCCGCTTGCACCCCTGCTCTGCTAATCAGAGGGGAGTAACATGACATGGCCGTATCCGCACCAATGGCTGGCAACCTGGAAAACGGGCCAGCAGGACTCCTGCCGCGATGCAATGCGCTCAGATTCCTCTCTCCGCTATCCGTGTATCTTCGAGCCAAACGACAAACGGACGCGTCGACAGAGGTATGCACTCGTGTTGCTACTGGATCAGTCGACATCAATACTTATTTGTGGAACATTTTGCAAGAACAACTGCTCGTCTGGGTCCGGTCAAAGTACCACCTTTGACGCGCGGTTGCTGACTAACTGCCATGCTGACAAGAAGTTACCGGCCTGGCCGCCGAATCTGCAGGTACGGCTGTGGAACTCTGATGGGGAGGGTCACCCATATTCCACAAAGCAGCGGTCGGTCCTCCAGTGTTTGCCCAGATTCGTTGGGGTGTGCGCGCCGGGGCCACAAACTGCCAAATGTCAGGATGATGTTCGAATCTAACTGCTAGTCAACTCAATCTTACTTTGCTCAGGACGCGCGTAACCCTGATCCCAACTTGTTCTTCTAGTGCCGCTCAAACATTTATGCATGAAGAATCCTGAGCAGTTATGTAGACATCATAAGCTAAACTTGCTAAACATCACCTGTATCAGTGGATGGCCGCGTGCTGGATTTATGCACATCAACATGTTCCCCATTGAAATTCATAGCCATCTGGTCAAGGGCATCCGTATTACGTGGACAAACATGTGTCACCTTCCTACTCAAACGCAGTCTGCACGATGAGTACCATCTCGGGCCCCTAATCAAACCATCACCTTCATTCGCCATACACCTTCCCTGTTACAGACCCATCCCAGTGCCACCCTTCCTCGCGCAGCGCGTTTTTGTTTGTTTTTGCTGTTCTGCCGCTTCCTCACATTCCCTGTCGTCCACATCTGCCTTCGGCCGGCCGGTCCTTTCGTGGAATTGTTTAAGAAACGGCACAGGGGGCCTATCTCTATATATATACATATATATGATGCCCGAAGCCGTTGCTCGCAAAAAACGTGCCGCCTTTCAAGGGGAGGGAATGTCACAAGGTTGAGATGTGACGCCTGTGGGTTTGCAAGGACCTCACTCCAGTCGATGAAACTTCTTCCTCGAGTTTGGTCATCTGAAAAAAGCTGGTGCGATAGGTGGGGAATGAGTTGGAATGAACCCAGGCTTTGGTCCCTTGAAAGGAAACCACTTGATGGTTCATCTCGGGGTGAGCCATTTCTCAGGGATGAGCACCAGCAAGGTTGCCCAAGACCTGGTCAGCTTTCACGATTATTGGAGGGAGGGTAACACACGCACGCAACTGCCCTTGTGGGGAAGAAGTCTGAATCGCGTTGCAAACCTCGCCCTGGCCTCAGACCGCCCTGGCCGCCAGGAGCCTGGGGGCGCTGGGAGGGGGGGGACTGGACCACCAAAAACGCCAGGAGTTCCGGTGATTCAACGGCAAACATGGGGCAGTTGTTACACATCACACAACATCCACTGGAAGTCCCTGCCTCAAAAGTTTCATGGGGTGGATTCAACGGACATGGGGCACCTTTCAATCTGGAAAGAGTTGCGCTGAAAAGTTTCATGGGTAAGCTCGTTTCACAAGGTGGGAATGGAACTTGGCCGCAAGTGTTTGAAACCAATGCATCGTGAAAAATAGCAGTGGAAAAGGGAAAGCAGCAACCCCAAAGTGGCGCAATGCAAATGTGGGTGGCTGATCGTGATCCTAGGATGCTCCTTCTGGCCATTGCAAACGACCAACAACAACCCTCAGCAGCGGACGTTGCAACCATTGGAAAACCAAATCGGGAGCCACGTTCTTGACTTTGGAGTGGGGTTTAGGTGGGCCGGGTCTATAGGATTCGACAGCGGTGGTTTAGTAGGTTGGCGCCTGATGTATCATCTGATACTAATCCCCCCAAGAGTAAGACAAGCATTCTACTTCAAAGGCACCTACAAGTGTTTGTGCAAAACAAACCGCTGCTCCGGTTGTTGGGACCCTACAAATCCCACGCGATGAGAACCGCCCGACTGCCTGACAAACACAACACATGAAGAAACAAGTCCTAATTACAAAAGCCATTGTCAATACCTCTGCCAATACACATTACGTTTATGGACTTACGGGTTGGTGTGCCAACAAAAACGGAAACACAAACAGCTAGCCGGAAACCAGTGTGCTTAAAGGTTTGACAAGCTCATGAAGGGTGCCCCCCATACCAAGGCCAGTCCTTCCTACTATAAACCCCCGATGAATCCCGGTCTCCAGGCCGGGAAACAGACGCAACTTGGTTCTACTGTCTCCGATTGGCTAGTCAGGGAGAGGACCGAAAAGGATCGAGAGCACTGCAGAGTTAGGAAGCTGCCCAGTGGGATCTCTGCCGACCTTGCAAGGGTTGGGGGGGTTTTAATCAGATGACAACCCTTGGTAAAAGGGAAACCAAAGGGAGCCGTTTACCAATCTTCTACCAGGTTTTGGCCATCTCGAGGCCAAAGGAGCAACCCAAATGACCCTTCATGGCGGCCAAATGACCAGGCAGGGGCCATCGATGCCGGCCCCGTGGTTGAATCAAATGGAGAGACTCGGGTGAGGGGCGAGTCCGGGAACAGAGTCTGCAAACAAACGAAGCCAAGAAACGGGTTGATCCAAGTCAGGAAACAGGTTGGGTCGTTGGAGATGTGGCTTCGTGAGTCAGGAAACGGCCATAAACGGCCGTGAGTCAGGAAGCAACGCGGAAAACACAGGCTGGACAGAACAGCGCGTCGCACTTCGGGGACACGTTTGGAGTCAAGCGAATAAGGTTAATGTTAAAAAGCTTGGAGTCAAGCGAACAAGGTTCCGTGAGTCTGGAAAGAGCGGTGAGTCGGGAAGCAATGCTGAGTCAGGAAACGGCGTGGAAACGATAGGTTGGAGGAAGCAGCATGTTTGGAGTCAAGCTCATAAGGTACCGTGAGCCAGGAAACAGCGGTGAGTAAGGAAACTGCGCGCAACCAACAAGAACCTCACGGTCGTGAGTCAAAAAGCAGCGGTGAGTCAGGAAACAACTTGGAAGCACAGAAAACACCACGTCGGTTGTTTGGGAAAAGTTTGGAGTGAAGTGAATAATAAAGTTCCGTGAGTCAGGACACATCGGTGTGTCGGGAAACGCTGTGACAACAACAGGCAGGAAGGAAGAATGTGTGTGCACATGCTAATCAGCTCCAGTTTTGCGAACAGGGGGGAGGAATCTCCGCTAAAAGCGGACCCCCCTTTGTTTGCAAGTTCTTCTTAAGGAATCCCCACTAAAAGCGGCACCTCCTTTGTTTGCAAGTTATTCCTGAGGAATCCCTACTAAAAGCGGACTCGCCCTTTTGTAGGGGTGCCTCCCCCATTCTTTCCAGGGATCTTTCTTGCTAGAAAACCTCCAGAAACCCAATGAAAACGGCCAGTTTTTGAAAAGAACGATGGTTGAACAGAATGGAAAAGGAATCATCCCTTAGACCTTTGGTTGCCAGTTGTTACTGGGGAATCCCCACTAAAAGCGGCACCCCGCCCTTTTTGGTTGCAACTGGTTCTTACGTCGGCAAGTCCTCCACTTCGGGCCATGCTCCCCGAGCTTTCGCCTTGAGGCCCCGAGCTTTCGCTCCAGCTCGGCGATGGTGGCGCGCAAGTCCTGACTTGATCTGCCTCCCCTGTTTTGGTTGGATGAGGAAATGTGTTGCCCCGAACAAAAGGGAGAAAAGAGGCAAACTGGGCCACTGGGCAAGAGAAAACCGTGATATTAAAGTAACTGGATTGTTCCAAGTTATATATATATATATATGTGTTATCACCGATTCCAAGGATTCCGTGCATCGAAGTCTGAATCACACGGTTTCCCCTGGCAAAGGGCACCGGCCCTTGGGCACCTGTGGGCTGCCCAGCGGACGCAAACGCCCCGAGCCACGCCGTGTCTGGACGCGGTGTCTGGGATCGTTCTTTGGTGCTGCCAGGTACCCTACTGTGGATGGACAAAATTTATTTCTCACCACTTTGAAACCATGGGAAACCATTGTTTGTTGGTATTTACAAGGGAATCATCATTCCAGGGTTTTTAGGTGGTGCAGAATTTCGTCCATCCACAGTATTCCAAGCAAGCGACGGGAAGGTGAATGGAATTTCGGCAGCTATCACCCATTTGAGCAAGCAGGAAGCAGGGGAAGTCATGCAAACACGAGGTCTCCAGTTGAGCAGCGCGCGCAACCAATTGACTCTTGGTGCTGCTACATGTTTTCAATTTTCATCAATGTCTAAATATATATATATTATATATAACTATAACCACAAGTTAATTAAATCCCAAGTCGCAGAACCGTCTACAAAAATGGGCACAAGGAAAACACACAATGGCCGCTCCTCAAACGGCAGCTTTCCGGTGGTGCTAGCGTTGGGTCTTACAGTCCCAGCGAATGGGTGATGGTCTCGCCAGAAAGAGAAAGGGTTTGCTGACCATGGCCATGAGCCGCAAACAATCTGCATTGTCCCCCCAAAAAAAACATGCTCCCCCATACGATAACGGTAGACCGAAAATGCCGTCAGGCTGGCAAAAGCGAACTCTGTGGTTCCCTTCCACCCTGCAAAAAGGCGGAGCCTCAAGAAAAGTACCCTCCGTCCAATGGAAGCGGAACGGCTTGTCCACTGCGAGCATGGGAAGGAGAGCTGCTTCGGATTTAAAAGGGATGACGATGGAACGGCCGATTGTAGCACATGCAGGGAAAACACAAAAAAAACATGGATAAATCGCCGGAAAACAACACACTCCATATGAGCGGCTCATCTTTGCTTCTGCAAAGCGGGCCTGTTGCTTCTCCGCTTGGGACTTTTCCGTCGCCTCGGCTCCGTGGATTTGTGTCATTCCGGTTCGTTGAGGGGGGCCGTTGGGCCGTTGGGCCGTTGGGGCGGGCTGCTGAACCAAGACGGATCTGTTTGCCGTTTGACTCTCCATGTTTCCTCGCTTCCCTTGCTTCCCCCCGTTGGTTTTGTGCTGCCCTGGAGATGTTCTCGTGACTCTTCAAAGCACCACATTGGTGCTACTGGTACCTTAATCGCGAAACGGTGCATCCTTTACGCCGCATAAGGATTAGTGCCAAAATGGGAGGATTGCCCAGCTCCACTGGGCAGCTCCCCTCAGCAGCTGATGGGAGTAGAATTGATGCCACTCCCACCGCGAGGGAGGAATCCTCCCACCTCACCGGATGCCCTCCCGGCATCATGGGTGAGGAAGGAAAGTAGCGAAGATCAGCTTGATCAATTCGCTTTCGACTGAGGGGAAGACCCGGTTCTCAGTCGGAAATTGCGGGTCCGGATGAGTAAGTTCATCCGCCCATGTGTTAAAGTCGCGCTTCACATGCGACGGTCCTAACATGACCTGGTGGTCATGCAGTGTTAACACAATTTCCATGAGGATGGCCGCATTGGGCATCCTGCGAGTGGAATCGTTAAGCAGGGAGAAAACGTTTCCCTGGTTATCACTAGCAACCAGAATCCTAGTGTGAGAAGCCGAGCCGGCTGCACAAAGCAGAACAGCCCTCACCAAAAGGAGGAGGCCGAAGAGCTCCAAGGCCGCTATCGCCCGCTGCGGGTCCCCAGTAGTGAAGGCCCACGGCTCGCCCTCCGGTGTGATTCTGTGTTGGAACCACTTCACTCGGGACTTGTCGGGGTTGGGCACGTCCGAGCACCAACCACCAACCCATGCATGGTCCGCCTGTTTGCCAGCTCCCGCATCAGATGCCCCCGTCCATGGAAGTGTGGGAGCAAATGGAGATGCCAGTGGGAACCTCTGGTTGAAGAGCTTCCCCAGAAGGATGGCCAGAGCACGAACCAGCTTCGGTGGCCTGCCCGAAGTGGTGCAGGCCTTCTTCCAGCTCCAAAAGGGCTGGAGGAAAGGTTTCGTCAATGGACACGCCGAAGTAGCCCATTGAATCCGGCCCAGGGCTTGTTCCACCTCCTTGCTGGTAAAGATGTCCCCCTGGGCCAGCCGTTTGAGAGTGGCCAGGATTATGACGTGCTTGACTGGAGCCAGCAGCACACAGGGCGTGATTGGGTCCACCACGAATCCCAACCAGGTATTGACCGGGGAGAGCGCCGTCTTCTTCCAAGAAAGCGGGACTCCCAGCGCCAGAAGAGTGGCCAGGATGGCTGTGGCGTCCCAGTCCGCCCTGCTGCATCTGAGGACCCAGCAGTAGTCGTCCACAAAGACTAAGTGCCAGTCCACCTGAGGGAAGATGTAGTACAAGAGTCTGAGCACCAAGGATGCCTTTCTTCCCCAGTACAGTTGTGCCGAGGCCATGCCGTACGTGCCCACTCTATTGACCCACCACCGGTTCTGGATGCAGGCCACCTGGTATTTCCAGTCTTTCTGGAGCACTTTTATGCGCCTGTGGGCCTTGGTGACATCCGCCTTGAGGATGATGAAGGTTTCCCCCTGTGTCGGCGGCTGCCACGTCAGGGGTTCCCCCCTGCTCCCCCCAGGGCGTTCCGTGCCTGGGGGGGTTGGGGGGAATGGGGCCCTCCTATCAGGGCCCTCGGCACCTGGGAGTGGCCCCTTCCCTACGTCCAGGCCGCCGGAGGTCTCCATCATCCGCCTGCCCCTATCAGGGCCCTCGGCACCTGGGGGCAGGCTGGGGCCTCTCAGGGCCCTCGGCACCTGGGGAGGATGGGGCTCGGAGTAGATGAGGATGGTCCGCCGCTGTCCTGAGCCAGTGGATGGCATGGAGGCAGTCTCCAACCATCGGTGCGGTGGTCTTCTCCTCCGTGTGAGCCTGGATGTGTGCGTTTGCTCCCCCTTTTGAGCCATCATAGATCGTCCTGATCTTGTCCGACTCATCAATCCCTGCAAGGGGGCCCGGGCAAAGTTCCTCCGGTTTGCAGCGGCACCTCTCTGCCGCCTCGGAGCGAGTGAAGGGCCCGTCCACCATGTCCAAGGCTCGTTCCTCGTAAAAGGTTGATTCGATTTCCTTGGCAAAGAGTTCAGCCGTTGGGTAGTTATCATGAGCCACTGGCGGGGGGGGATCTTCCCCCAGCCAGGCTTCTCCCTTAAGCTCCTCCTTAGTGGGCCAAACTCCCGGGGAGGTCAAGGTAGGGTCCGAGACTCCCAAGGGGACCCCCTCTTTCAGTGTTAGGGGGAACTCCCAATCAGGGTCACCTGAAAGGGATGCCAAGTGCGACACTAAGTCCAGGAGGAAGGGTTGTCCTGGGCATCGTTCATGGAGGTGCCTCGGTCCTAGGATAGCCCGCAGCTCCTCGAGGTCGGCTTCCTGGAAGGGGTGTGTGGTGGCACCTGATGCCAGGGACATTCGGACCTTGTCAATCCAGGGCCGGGTAAGGGTCATGATCAGGGCGCCCAAAGTAGCCAATGGGGAAATTCTCCGAAAAGGGGGGTTGAGCCTTCCTGGGGAAGGTTTTCCCCATCCCTCAGGGGGCGTGAGCGGAAACCCAATTGGACAATCGCCACCCGGTCAGTGAGGTGTGGGACCCTGAAAGCGGGCAGGCATTCGGGGCGGTCCAGGACCTGGTCCCCCTGTCCCTCCTTCCCCAGTTGTTCCGCATCTCCGGCCATCGGGGGCATGGGAGATGGGAAGTCTGGGTTCATTGTTCCACGAGGGCTTACGGTGTCTGCCTCAGGGTGGAACTGCCCGTGCAGGCGGGGCTTCGGGGCGTTCTTGCCTCCGGGCTTTGAGCCCTGGTGTGATGAGGAGGGACCGCCTCCTTGACTGGGCCCCCGTTTTCCCCGGGGGGAATGGCCTTCCGGGGGGTCCGACCCCCGCCCCTTAGGTGGTTCCTTGGGGTTTCCCGGAAATTGTGAGGGGATCCGGATGTGCCCCGGCGCTGCGAGTGACACAGCGATGGCTTTGGCCAGGCCTGCCATCATATCCCAAGGGTATCTGCTAAGAGTCGAGGACTCGTTGGTGCCCACATGTGACTGATGCGTGCACCGCATTTGATCCCAGTCCTGGATCGGGAGATCCGTGGCCAGCGTAGTGGCCTTCTTGACCAGCTGGCCCAGGCGGCACTGGTCGAAGGAGATTGCTGTCAAGGAGTTCTCCTCCATCCAAAGCTGCCCCTCCTCTGTGATCCAGAAGGATGAGCATTCCTTGGCTTTGGGCAGCGAGCTGCTCACCACTGGGTCCTCCGGGTGTTCCAGGAAGGACCTGGGCCCTGGCAGAGAAACCGCCGCTCGTGAGGCCCTTGCCAGGCTGGTGATGTACATCTGTCTCAGAATGAGGATGCTGTCATCATCAAGTTGAGTCTGGGCGGCCTGGTCCAGGTGTGGAAGGCCCCAAAGTGTCTCTGGAGTGCACCCTCGCACCGGAGTAAGAGCCCCCGGTTTTGGTATGTGGCGCAGGATGGACCATGTCCTGCAGTTGGGTCCTCCTCCAATGAAGACCACTCGACCCTGCTTTGCTGCCGTGCAAAGAGCTCCATACAGCTCGGGTTGGAGCATATCGTGGTCCCCTTTTGGTCCAGACCGTACGCCACCACCATGCTGGAAAGGTGTGGGTAGTTGGCATGAAGACAGCTGTCCAAGGAAGTTGGGTCTTCCTTGCCTGCATAGAGCAGGACAATGATGGGCCCACTGGATGGAACTTTGGGCGATGTGCCCTGTGTCCATCTCAGCCGCTGTACCAGACGCTCAGGGATGTTCTCCATCCACGGGAAGATGTCCAATCCCGGTGACGGCTCCGTTGGACTTGTCAGGGGGGTAGCTGAAAGGCGTTGGCCCCCTTCATTCAGCCCCACCGAGCTCTTGTGGAAAACCACCGGGTCCTGCTTGATGATGTTGGGCGCCGGAAGTGGGATCGGCTGCTTCCTGGGAGTGTCCCTTGGCGTTGCGGTGTGCTGCCAGTCATCCGGCACTCGGGCCTTCTGGGTGCGGCCCCCCGTGTCAGGGCCCTCGGCACTTGCGGGGAACCGTCCCGTCCCCGCCATATCAGGGCCCTCGGCACCTGTGGCTCGGGACTGAGGCGCCGCCGTTGTGCCGGTTGTGTGGCTGTTCTGATCACGGCGAGGGCGTTGTGCACGCTGGTTCTGCCGTCCCCATCCTTGTTCCGCCGAGGATGGCCGCCACCTGGCCTGTCCCCCCCCTGTGTCAGGGCCTTCGGCACCTGCAGGAGGGGGCTTCTGTGCCTGCTTGGGGCGTTTCCCCCGGGCCTTATCAGGGCCCTCGGCACCTGGGGGGGGTAGGGGTCAGCGCCCCTAGTCAACCCGGGCAGTCCTGCGGGAGGTGGTCCCCCAGGCAGATGCGGCCCATTGCCAGGATGAGGTTGCACTTGTGGGTGCGGCCGCAGTTGCCCGGGCAGCGCCCGCGCATCCAGTTGTTACAGAACTGGTTCCCTTTCGGGTCGGTGGCTGCCTGCTTGTTACCGCCCCGGGACGCCTGATTGTTCGGGTGGGGGGTCTTACCCTTCCCTTTGTTCCCAGGCTTGCCCTTGGACTTCCCCTTGCCCTTGGACTTGTTCTTGCCCTTCTGAGGTGGTGCGTAGTCCATGGATGTCCTGGTTGATGGGCGGCCCCTGGAAAAGGTCTTGATCTTCTCATAGACCTCACGTGTCCAGAACAATGTGTCCTGCCTGACCGACAGCATGGCCGCCTTGAGGGTGTTGCCCTCATGCATCTTCTCGTGAATCTTTCGCCATGCGTTGCGTTCGGCAATTGCCAGGACGTGGTCCTCTGGCGGGGGAAAACGGCCCCCGATGTCCTCACCATAGAACCACTCGTACCAGCTCTCCAAGTCCTCCCGGGTGATGTCGAACTGGCCGAACTGCGGGAACGAGAGGACGCACATGAGGAGGGTGTTGCGGAACACCGCGTGCATCCTCTCGAGCTGGTGGC